GCTAATGATCTATATTAGTTGCATAGAAAGCTTGGTTAAGTCTTCAATAAAATTAGTAGCATGCCCATGCATACATATTACTGCATTTACGGTTTTATAGGTAAGTCTGTGAGCCTAACCATAATTTCATTTCATGGGAAGTCATTCATATCAGGCAGCTCCAATTTCAAATAATTCAAAGGGAAATTGGTACTTAAAATTGGAATCTCTTCTGGCCATAAGCCCTAACAAGGAAACAAGCAGAGGCAACATGCATCAGTCATTCTGGACCTGGAGCAAATACCGCTCTAATTTATTTTTACTATTGGTGGCTACAGTTTTTTCATTGTGAGTCAAGAAAAGCAGAATACACAAACACTTTTCATTTTGTGAAGAGGTTATTACTTTCTTTCTGTTCTATTTAATCTAATGTTGGCTTAGGCTCATTATGTATCATATGCTTCCTATTGAACTTCTGCCTAGCCACTACATTTTTCAAATTAAATTAATAATTCAAAAACACAAAGGTTACTGTAAACAATTTAGTTTCCTTTTCTACATGTGACTTCCTGCTGTGCAGTAAGCAATATAAAAAATTAATTTAAACCTCAGAGTCTTCAGAAACTATGAAATATCGACTCACTAATCCTTTGCTTTAGGATTTTGTAATTGTTTGAATAAAACTGATTAACCTGTAGGTTAATTTAAATTTTCAGTTGCGTTAGAGAAAAGAATAATAAAACAAGTTTCTTTTACCAAAGTTATACATACATGCAATTACGGTTTCTGCTAAAATTCGAAGACATTCAGGATTTTACTCTTTAACATCTTGGGCCTTTTTATGCAAATAACCTCAAAGGCATAGGGGTAGTCTTGACTTTCTGCACCTCTGAGATTTCTAAAGGAGTTCTGTCAATGCCAATTCTAAATGGGACTAATTTAGTGTCTGACTTTTAATTCATTTTTGACTTACCTTTACAAATGTAGATACTTTTTTTCACATATACCAATCCATATTGACACTGAGCCCTTCGAAATGTAATAGGAGACCTTCTCCTTACTCTCAAGTTTCCATGTGCACAGGAGCACACTTACACACACACACACACACACACACACACACAGAGTAAAATCTCACTAACACTCAGTTGGAATTTATGATAATTTTGTCATAGATTGAGTTTGCCTTTATTCTACTGTCAGCAAGATACACGTTTGATAAACAAATTTATAACTTCAATGGGTTTTTAAAGTATTTAGCAATTAACACCAAATAATTTACACATTAATAACCTGATTCAAAACTACTTTTAAGAACATCTGCTAAGTTTATTCATTCTTGAATATGCCTAAAAGCTCTAAAACTGTACTCTGAAATATTCTATAATTTGGGCTATTCTATAACTATTTCCTATTATATGTTAGTTTATATATGACAAATTTGCTCCATACTCGTTCTAATTATTGAAGCTGTGAGTGCCTTTTTCCCTCTCCATAAAGTCTATAAATTGATTAGGGATTCTCTGTATACACACACACACACACACACACACACACACACACACACGCCTCACATTGATGAACACAATCCTTTCAAGTAGGAATTCTGTGTCAATAGGTCAAATTTGAAGCTGACTAACCTTGACAATATTTTCCTAGAAAGTACTATCAATATGTTTTATTTCACAGTAAATGGCTGCCTTCAAGAAAGCCATATAAAATATACATTTGTTTCTTTCTTTCATATTTTAACCCATAGGACACTTGCATCACAAATTGTATCAAATCCTAATAATGTAAGTTATGTGTTAATCAGCATTTAAAAAATTGTGCATTCTTTTAGAATGTTATTTTTCAACTGAAAATGTGGTTTGATGACTTGAAAAATGTTTCTCTTTTAAGCTGGGGAATATATTTTCTTTTAAAATTTATGTTATGTGTTTCAGACTTTACGAACACAAACAATTAAATTTTAAACATTACCACTCTGGCAATATGTTTCATCCTTTGTGCAGCCTCCATTACTACTTGAACATAAAGTTCTTAGAGCAGCAAAAATTTATTTTCTTGCCTTCTATGTGGGGGGAAATAAAAATTGTGAATTTAAGACATAGAGGTTAAAAAATTAACTCTGGGCAAGACAACTTTGGAAAGCAGCTTCTGGTTGTAAGCTCTTGTTTTTCCAGACATGAGGCAGCAGTGATGTACAGTCATTACAGATTTTGTTCATAAATGTGCTTCCTATCAATCTTTGTTAAATCAGGTTAAATATGAATGCTGCTTTCCTGATGTCTTCCAAAAAGTTTCATTGCTTACTAAAAAAATTAGTTAAGGAATTACACTCTGATTAAATACATAGTAGCTATTTTTAAATGATACGAAAGAGAAAATGGTCTAAAAGAGAAGTTGAGAACATTTTCTCTGGTTACTACTGTCAGATCTAACTGCATTATTATTTTGGAAACTATCTTCATTTTTAGTGCCTTCAGTGCACAATGAAACTATATAACACCCAAAAATTAAGTATAATGCAAATGTTCAAAATTTTTGTTAAATTCTAAAATATAATTTCATTGTATTTTACAGTCACATGGATTTACTAAATCTATGTTATTTGAATACAAACACATATTTCTAAAAGGAATGGCTTTAATATATTAACTAAAATTCTATTATTTCCCTCCTATTTTTACTTTCTACCTTATCTACGCTTAAAAAATTAATCTAAGGCTATGGACAGAAAAATTCTGTCCACTATATGCATATTATTTAAAGATTTGTGAATAAAGTGAATACTGTGTTTGAAAATTTAGCAATATCAAATTTACCAATTTTTCACAACAGAAAATGGCCTATAATGTAATCTTTGATATGTAGCCTATGTAAATGCATAATAAGTACCACCTCACTACATAAATGATTGAATATTATGGGTCTAATCTCCCCATAATGCATATGGAATTTATTTTTCCATGGAATTTATTCTTCCTCGACTATTAACATGAGGTACAAAATCTTATTCTTTGTATGCATCTGAACAAGGGGAAATCTCTGATTCTTGCCCCCAAATGACCAGCTTATATCACTGTTTCTTGTGTTACATGAATTTACACTGCAATAAGCCATGAGAAATGTTTTTCAGGGTGAGTAATTGACAATCCAAATCAGAGCTTGACAAATCCGGCCCACTGCCAGCTTTTATAAATAAACTTTTAATAGCACACAGCCATGCTCATCAGTTCATGCATTGCCTATGGCTGCTCTTGTGCTACAATGACAGAGCTGAGTAGTTATGAAAGTGATGGTATCACTTTTAAACCCCAAAGTATTTACTATCTGACCTTTTACAGAAAAAAATTTGTCAACCTTTGATTTAAATGGATAACTATATGGAATCAATTTTAAAAACAATGCTTTGAAAGCTCCAGAATTAAAAGTTATAGTCCCAGCTCACAATAGAAACACAAATACCTAGTTTAGTTACCCACGCAATTATATACAATGTGAATTGGGTCTTTTAGGAATGATGATCAAAACCTCATAAAGCCATAGAAATCTATCCAAATTTCCCAGTTCTATGTATTTAAAAATATGTATCTAGAGGTAACCTATTAAATTTCAAAGGAAATGATAAATATTTTAAAAAACAACTATTTTCTCCTAAAATTATCACTGAAACCAGCATAAAGAAATGCTAACATAAATAAATTATTAAACTAGTCCTGAATCACTTGTTTTCTAAGCAACATAAATAGAAACCAGGCTATTTCAATTGCTGTGAAATGTTTGTTTTTAATTTTCCTACTCAAGTGTTTTTTTTTAATATACCTAAATGCAAACTGTTTGGTTAATGAAGAGAAACATCTGAACTCTTTTTATTATGTTTATTTGTTATAAATAACACATTCTGCACCAAAATTAACTTACCATCATTTCAAGTGTGTATTGATTACAATTTAGCAACATCCTTTTCAAGATGTTATTTTATAAAGGAGATGAACTCTTCAGTGGAATGATTTTATTTTAGCAATAAAAGTGAGACTTTTAAATGCCTTTATTATAATTGCACTGCTTGATATTGACTATCATTTTGTATCACATTATTCAATATCAATTTCAGAAACATCCGGGGCCTCACACACCTATTAGTATCTCAGAGCCAACTAGTCACGAACAGAGGAAGTAATACATTCGCTTTTGTTAATGTTCTCATGCGACAGGCAGAGGCAGTCAATGTTAGACCTGGTAAAACACATCTAGCTCTAGGTGAAATCTGAGGGGAGATGCAGCAACAAGAAAGCAGCACCGACTGAGCATGCTCCTATTCAGGCAGAGACAGAAAGGGACTGGACGTACTGTAGAAGCTGGCCATTACGTAGTTTTGGCAACGATCACCAGTAAACTCATTTGGGCACCTGAGAGAAGAAACAAAAAACAATGGTAGAAAAAACAGAGAAAAAGAGAAGAGGTGAATATATGCTAGAAAGAAGCTCCTTCAGTGTCATTTGACTGAACTTGGTGAGTTCACCCTCAGGAACTGAGTCTTTGTCCTCATCACGGCTTTCAGACTCGGGCATTCCCCCCAAAGGGTTAAAAATTTGGAAAAAATGTAGTCCTAGGGTTTGTGTGACAGAAGGATCCCAGCATTTTAAGTGACTGCTTTCTTTCAAAGGGAGCCACTTACAATTAAATCTGACGTTTTCTTCATCTCATTTTCCATTTGACAGCTTTGGTCAAAAATGTTGGAAGGAAATGGTCTTTTTTTGGTTGGTCTGCCTGCTGTGGTTGCCAGCATCACTGGCCATCCATCCTCATGCGTCGTTCTTTCAAATTTACGACCTTGGGGGGCGCATGTTGAGCAACGGGTAAACAAGGTCACAATGAATGGGTTTATGCCCGAGTGGTTAAACCATAATTAGAACAAAAGGAATCAGTTACAACCGAGCTGTAAAAGCACCAAGTAGTAGTGATTGTTGCTGTAGTTTGGGAGAAAAAGCAAATTTCAGATTATTTTAACATACTTTCTTGGTTTTGGACTTTCATGGGCACATTCTCAGTACATCTCGCTCCAGTGAATCCAGGTTGGCACCTAAAGGGCAAAAATGTGATAAGCAATAGAACGCTAAAGACACTGAACTTTCAGACTGGCAATTTCCTCCTATGGAATATGGAGATTCCTACAAATGACCTGGTGACCGAACAACATACAGAAAAGGAAAAGACAAAACATTTACAAAACTCTGTCCCATGAACACTGTGGGGTATATATTTTTGTTGTTGTTTGCTTCAGTCTTCTACGGTCAGTTGACTGCAATTTAACTAGAGTGAAGTGGAAACATTGAACAGGGGTCTCAAGGCCTGGGCAGCTAAGTCATTTCCCCTGTGGCATTTTCCCATTTGCCACTGAACACTGACTCTTACTACGTCAAAACACTGGTTTTGCTAAGAGTTTATGTGGTTCCATCCATAATCTTATTTAAAATGATTCTGAGCTTCTTCTGTTATAGATACCTCAATGTCGGACTTACTTCATAGATATTTTTATAAGTTATGAGATACATCATCAAACTAATAGAAGTCAAGCACATTCACACTCGAGTGATTACTGACAAGAAAAACTACATTCTCCGTTGCTTTTTTTTTTTTAAAGATTTTACAAATTAGGTCTCATTTTTAATACTGAAAGACAGAAAGAGGCAGATTTTTATTAGTACAAATTTCACTTCATCCAATTTTCCCAAATCACAGACAAATACATTTTTCAAATTTAAATAGTTATTCCTCTACAGTAGTACTTCATAGACATAATTTTGCATTTAAGGTAAAACTATTTTAAAAATGTATAAAATTTACATTTTACTCACTCACGTACATTTACCTGTTAAAGTTATAGAATCTTGATATAATTTTGTTTTTAAGATCATGCAATGATGTTAGGGCTGTGCCTAAATATGGAAGTCCTTTATAATTGCTCTTTTTTGTTGCTGTCACTCCAGTAACTAAAGCATTTCAGATTACATTCATTTTACCCAATATTATGCCATAATAAATAGGGACATTGAAAGGTTCTAGGAAGCAAATATACTTATAGACACTCAACACCCCTAGCCATGATTATTATTAATAGTTCATCTATACCATAACCATCATACAAAGCACCTATCTAATAAAATTTATTTCTGATAGCATGTATCTCATGATTTACACACAATCCTTTCTTCCCCAGAAGAAATAAGAATAAATACCATCTTTTTGGTATCAAAGAGATGTGACTAAAACTATTCATTTTTACTAACATAAGGGTGATTTTTTTTCATTACCCTTAAAGCCAAATTCAATGCCAAAAATACCAAATCATCATGTGATTTGGTACATCTACTTCACCTATTTCATGAAGAATGGCCTACAAGATAAAGTACTAGGAAGTTCCAGATTTTTAGCCCCATGAGTTCTTATGTAAACTTACAGTATAATTATGATCATTAACAATAATATCGACAATCTTAACAGTAAACATCTTGTATTGATACAGCCCTTTTGAATTCTTCAAAAACACTTATATAAATGAACTGGTTATTTTTGGTTAGAATATTTTGCTGCAATGAATAGAGGAAGATCTACCTAGAGAAATACAGAAATAAGAACTACAATCTATGAGGTTGGGTCATTTCTCATGAAGATGGCATTCTATATGCATCAATAAAAATGTCTTCAGAGATATGTAAGAAAAATACATGGAAACTTGTTTTCCATATAACTTATTTGACAAAATAATTTCTGAAGTAAATGAGGTTTTTATTTGTGTGTGTGTTTCCTAACCAGGACTATAAATCCATACTGATATACCTTATAATTAAGCAGGTAATTCCAGAATTAAGGATATATTCTATAATGACCATTTCATCTTACCTATTTGCATTTTTTTGATAAACATTACCTAAAGCAATCTACAGATTCAATGCAATCCCAATCAGAATCCCAATGACATTCTTCACAGAAATAGAAAAAAGAATACTAAAATTTATATGGGGCAACAAAAGACCCCGAATAGCTAAAGAAATCCTAAAGAAAAAGAACAAAGCAGGAGGCATCACAATTCCTGACTTCAAA